TTTTGTAATTTTTTTTTTTTTTTTTTTTTTTGTGGGGATTCATATATTTAAAGGCATAGTTCACCCAAAAATGAAATTTGTCATCAATTACTCAACCTCATGTTGTTCCAAATGACTTTCCCCTTTCTGTTGAACACAAAAGATCATTTGAAGATTGTTTCAAATGATCTTTTGTGGAAGAAAGCAAACAGTTGACGGTAGCCATTGACTTCCATAATATTTTTCTTCCATTCATAAGTCAATGGCTACCATCAACTGTTTGCTTACAAACAATCTTCAAAATATCTTCTTTTGTGTTCAGCAGAAGAAATAATTTCCTAGGTTTGGAGCAACTATGCAAGTATGGTTTTATTATAGTAAAAATGTAGTAGCCTAACTGTGTTTTTTTGGCGTATTGATTACCATTCGTATAACCACATTTTTACTACAAATTCCATTGTTAGGTTAGTGTAGCAAAACCATGGTTAATTTATAGTTACCATGGTTTATGTTTTTTTTTTTTTTGTAGTAAAACCATGGTTAATTTTCGTAAGGTAATGATAACAGAATTTTCATTTTTGGGTGAACTATCCCTTTAATCATCTTCTTTCACTGGCCATTTGTTGTAAAAGAAATGTGTTTGTTTAAAGCGTAATGGTTTTGACATGAAGGACTTCAGATATTTCATATTTGTCCATGAGCATCCTCTTGCGTTCACTCGCGTCATCAAACGCTTGTAGTGCGCATGCGCGTTCCTGCGACTGTTGTATTATTATTATTGACCCGAGCAATATGTAAACTGCGCAGGGGGGTGGCCTGTCAAGTAACATTGGACTGCAAGCCCATGGGTGGGTTTACAGAGAACTGCATGACGATGCAAATAAAGGAGGATCTAATCTGACTGACAACTGCATGTTCTTGCCTTAAAGCTTCAGTCGGCTGTCTTCTGATCGCTGTTACAGTGCGGCAGCGGCGGCTGGCCAGCGGTGCTGGATGATACCGGCTGGTGTGTTGACTTCTGCAGAGACTGTCGCGTTTCACGTCACTTTTCAATGAGTTGTAGTTATATACGTGGCTTTACAGGACTGACTTATTTGTCCGTCTGATAAAAGTCAAAATGAGCGCCGCGGTTTATGTTATATCCACGGTTACCGGATATGTGCTCACTTCGGCATTATTGCTTAAATATCCGTCACTGCTGCACCGGCGAAAGAAAGAAGCCTTCCGGAGCAGACACATCTCACACCGCGGCGGTGAGTGACCAACGCTGCTTTCACGAGTTACATCAAATCTACAGCAGGCCGAGGCTTTTCGTCATTTACCAGTCACTGTTTTTCCTTGCAGTTCAATAAAAACCTAATGAGTTGTGATGTATAAAATGCTGACTTGAAGCTCAGAAACGCAGTCAGTGAATGTCTCTTACAGGGTTACATTCATAAATTGCTGACTGTAGCCTGAAGTCATCCACTTAGAACATTTTTGTCTTTTATATAATGAAAAGCCTGTTTTTATCTTTAGGTCATATTTCATAATCCCTTCATTTTGGGCCAGTGTTGGTTCAGAGGGTTCATCATTGACTTTATTGACTACACACTGGAGTGTGGACTGTGAACCCTAGAATACTGTAGAAGCTACATACAGTCTTAACATAAACACCACCTGAAGTAGTTAGTTGACTACCAAAAGCAAATACCAAGCATTGCTATAAAATGCATTTTGTCCTGGTTCTTACTGTTTTTCTTCATCTCCAGGAGCTGGTGAGAACTTGGAGAACACAATGGCAGCCTTCAGGCAGTGAGTTTCTAAATGGGCCGCTGTTTATTGCTTGGATTTGCATTGATGAGTGCTTAGTTAGTAACATGCTTAGTTAACTTTGTATACTTGATCTTGACGAATTCTGTAGCATCTGAAGTGCTTCTCTAAATTTTTCATCATTCATCCAAGTGGCATTATCAGTTGATGACAAAATTGTAAATTTTACGAGGATCTGGATGAAAATCTTCATGATTTATGGACAGATGCTTCCTTAACTCATCTGATGCACATCCTCTTCTTCCTCAGCGCTGTTCAACTGGGCACTGACATGTTGGAACTGGACTGTCATTTGACCAAGGATGAGCAGGTGGTGGTGTTGCACGATTCCAACCTAAAGCGGTCGACTGGCATTAACGCGTACATTTCTGATGTGGCTTACGCTGTGAGTGGAGAAACTTCAAACATCCTGTATTCACAGTCCAAATGTTTCAAGCCATGACTAATTCATAGTAGTGCTAAAACTCTTATGTCAGTATGTAAGTATATGCTGTATTCTGAAAGTGTTTGTGTGTTTGTCTTCTTAGGATCTTCCACCTTACCTTTGTAAGCTTGGGGTGACTTTCAAACGAGGTGAGTGTTCAGTCCAGGTAATGTTCAACAAGTTTGATTTAAGGTATAATCAAGCCAATGTGCCTGTAGCGTTGCTAATATGCTACAGTGAAGTCAAAAACTAAGACTACATTAAAAGTCTGGGACTGAAAATCTACACTGAAAAAAAATGGCTTCGCTCATAAATTGCTAGTAAGTTTGATGAATAATTACAAAGAAATAACAAATTGAATTAATCATTAAATTTTAAGTAGAAATACTGAAACGGTATTTTCTTGTAAAATGTGCTCTAATCATTTTTATTTAAAATTGTTTTAATTAATTTATTTATTTTTTATAGTGTAATTGAATCCTGGAAACAAAGTTGTAGTATTTGAAAAACATTAAATAAGTTATATGTAAATGCCATAATGTCAAATGAATAAGAAAAAATTTCTGAGCTATTTTTTGTCATTAATCAAATGTAATATTGATCTTGTGAATGCCTTTGTACAGAAGTGCATGCCCCATTATAGCATGCACTTCTATTATGAAATTCATTTTTTCAACTTTTCAGTTCTTTTCAATCAAATTTCAGTTAATCTTTTTACTCAATTGAAATCCAAAACAGATGCCCACGCATTTTTTCAGCCTCTGTATACATGTTTCAAATATGATTTGTATACATTTAATGGTAACTAAGACATTTATGTCCAACTATTAAATTATTCCTGATGTGTTTCAGAGTGCTACTGTGAAGGAGGAGATGACAAACGCATCCCTCTGCTAAGAGACGTGTTTGAATCCTTCCCAAACACCCCTGTAAACATCGACATCAAGGTCAACAATGACATTCTCATCAAGAAGGTTTGTAGGGGCCCTGCTGTCCTGCTCATATTTCTTTTCCTCGAATTGTCTGTCTGTGCATGTCACCACTAAAATGAATCAGGTTGGTGAGACGAGTTCAACAGATGCAAAATAGAGTTTTACCTTTTTTCTGTCAGGTGTCCGAGCTGGTTGTCCAATACAACAGGGAACATCTGACCGTCTGGGGAAACTCCAGCAACAAAATCATTAAGAAATGTTACAAAGAGGTGGTTAATAACACTGGTTATTAGTAAACAACATAATTGAACAATAAATTGTCCGAAGTATGCAAAATGTCAATGTCTGAAGCTTTTCTATTTGTTTTGTAGAACCCACAAATCCCAGTCTTTTTCAGTTTGCACAGAGTGCTGCTGTTGCTTGGTCTTTTCTACACAGGCCTCCTGCCCTTCGTCCCGCTTAAGGAACAGTTCCTAGAGATTCCCATGCCTTCAGTCATTTCCAAGTGAGGAACATATGCATTTTAGTCACACATACATGCTCCTATATTTTTTCTTCTTCCAGTATTAAAAAAAAACAAAAAAAACTTTAGATTTGGTCCTTCGTAGATTCAGACTCAGCAGATGAACTTTGTATGCTCACAGAACTAGTGCTCTGCTAGACATTTTCTCTAAAGATTTAGTTGAAAATCTGAAAAGTGATACAAATTTTGTCTCTTGCAGACTCAAAGATCCTGAGCATCAGAAACGGAGTCAGCGTTTCATAACATGGCTGGCAGACACGTAAGTTTATGTGCAATCTGGCCTCAATAAACCTTTTACCTAAATATTTACTTAACACGCTTTATGTGTTTCTTATGGGAAAGCAGTTAACTGCCTGCTTTAGCGATTTTGCACATTCTGGCCTTAGTGATGAAAGTAATTACAAGCATTAAAAGGCTTACGCTTAGCCCATGTTATTCTAATACTTACTAGAGTCGTAAATATGCAGGAATTATAATATGGATGTATTTTCAGGCTCCTCATGAGAACAGCATTATTCGATCATCTGACAAGCAGAGGAATACAAGTGAGTACTCCAAATGAGATTTAGGTCATACACCACATGTACTTGATGGGTAAGCATTGCTTTGAGTGCTATGATGTGCATGAGCAGATGGCAGGAGCTTTGAATGGAATTTCGCTCTTGACTGGAACGTCATCATGGGACTTTTCCACTGGTCTTTGTTTTTTCCTTTCCAACCGCAGGTGTATGTCTGGGTGTTGAACGACGAGGAGGACTTCAAACGTGCCTTTGACCTTGGGGCTACAGGGATTATGACAGACTATCCCACCAAGCTAAAGGAGTTTATGGAGAAAAACAGCTACACTAAATAAGACTTGTCGGCCAAAGTAAATGATCAATTAGCTATTCCACTGATCTTTGGCCTCTAAATGCGCCTTTTAATTACCCAACATTCTTTGATGTTTATGTGTATGAGTAGGTGTGGCAGCTATCAGTTTTGCATTCATCTGCAATCAGCATCAGAGCCATTTTAGAGCATACAGGATGTCTTGAAATCCTTCTGTAGCTTCAAGTTCATAGCAATACACTATCCATAAAAAGCTGGAGGATTCATAAGAAGCTGAGGTTATGATGAAATATCAATCATGTAGGGGTGATGTCATGATCGTCATGACATTTCTGTGACTTTTACTCTACAGGCACTTTCATTGTATCATTGACTTGCAGTTGATTGTTTTATTACAGTGCATCAGTTTCTGCAATAACACTGAACTCACTAAAGAGTTAATTGTCTAAATGACGAGACCGAAGCCACTTAAGTTTTTCCAAGACACTAAAAATAAATACTAGTTTCAGGGGGGTGTACTGTGGAATTGTTGAGAAACCAATAATTAGAAGGTATTAGATTTTTATGTTTACTGTCATGTGTATATTTTGTTTTTGTAAATTTGTTTATTTTGTCAGTAAGAGATTGTCAATTTTGAGATAAGTTGTGGCTTAGAAGATGCCTCACTGTTGCTTGAACTGTTAAGTGTAGTTTAATATACCAGTCAGACGTTTTGACACACCAACTCAATCTTCATTATTACTATGTCAACATAACAATCAAGACTATAAAATAAAACACCAATAGAAGTATGGTAGCTATGTACGATTAAAAAACATCTTATACAAGTGAAAACTCATATTTGAGCTGCTTCAAAACCTATTTCTGCTTTTCCTTTAATATCCGCTCCAACTCATCCATATATAATAATAAAATACATATAGGTCAAATTAGTGAACAATATTATGCATAGGGAAACTTTTTATTTATCTTTAAAACCAATTTCAAGTATTCAAGCAATAGCCTTTAGGTCAAAAGGTTTTGTGATCATGAAAAACAATGTCAGTCAAGTGTGTCCAAGCTTTTGACGGGTTGTGTATATTATACACTGATGAATGAAGTTGTGCTGGAGTGTAACTGGGTTACAAACAAGTGTGGTATATAGTGGTCATGTGACTTTTGAATGTACGTTTGCAATAACAGGAAAAGATGTTAACTTAAAAATGTTGGTGGTTTTACAGTTTTGCTGTATTGAGAGGGAAAGGTAAACAGAAACATTTTCTCACTCATTTAAGGAATTCCTATGAAAAACAATGCATTCAGAATTGGCATGACAGTAACTCACTCCTGAATGGAGGTGATCTTAAGACTTTGGATAATCAAGCATTTGTGGAGTTCAGATGTTTCCCCCCTTTTGTGAAGTGTATATGGATGCAGTAACTCTTAGCTTTGTGCTGTGTTTAATTTTCTAGTTCATATTTTCTCCAAGCTACTTTCATTGGTTGTGTATGAATTCAGTGCACAGTTTTAAATGTAAATGATAGTACTGTAATTCAAAGATTAGTTATTATAGAGGATATTTGGTATCAGCAGCACATTTCTGTTTGTATTTGTGAATAAACTGCCATTAAATATATTTTATAAATGAATTTAAACAGACTATGTTTTACCTTTGTGTTTTTATGGGCTATCAAAGCAATTAAAAACCCCATAAAACTCTTTTGGGCCTGTGGACTTTTACAATATCTCTTCAAGCACACATTCCAAATTGCCATAGTTTAAAAGTTTAACAGTGGACACAAATTTGTTACTTTAAAAATCAACCCCGGTACATGAAAGTGACATTAACTGGAGCACAAAAAACAAAACGCATTGGCCAGAAGGGGGCGCTCTATGATAATAACTAAAACTTGCTCTAACCCAGTGTTACTCATTGCGCGGCTCGCCATGCTTTAATTTGTGGCTCGCATGGCAGATGGCAGTAAATAATGCGATGATATGCTCAATACAGATATTTAATAAAAACATTAAAAACAAGCAAGGCTATAACTAAGCCATTAAAAAAAACCTGTCTATGCGATGATATGCTCAATACAGATATTTAATAAAAACATTAAAAACAAGCAAGGCTATAACTAAGCCATTAAAAAAAAACCTGTCTTGCGACGTGACAAAAGACAATAGAACCCATTATAATTATGGCCCTATGATTTCTGCGATGCGGAAAACGCGAACGGAATCGCGGAATCCAGTCTTAAAAACAGAATTCACTGTATAATGCCGAATGTCACGGAATTTGTCAAAGTTTGGGCGAATAAATCAAAAGTAGGTCATTACTACGGTAACAAAGAAGTGCAAAACAAATCACAATTCTGAAAACAAAATAACAAATTACAAACGCAAATGCAAGTCTAAAAAACAAAATAACAATTCAGAAAGCACAACAACAATTCAGAAAACATTATAACAAGTCAGAAAACACAATGACAACCACGACTCTGCTGTTCTTCGGCTGGTTCTTCCTGTATAGGTTGATTGACAGATGTCTCGTCCAGTCAGCCTGACTTGTTATAATGTTTTCTGAATTGTTGTTGTGTTTTCTGAATTGTTATTTAGTTTTTTAGACTTGCATTTGCATTTGTAATTTGTTATTTTGTTTTCAGATTTGTGATTTGCTTTGCACTTCTCTGCCACCGTACATTACACTTAAATCAAATCGCAATATTGACTGGTATCTGTAAATATTAAGCTGCAAAAATACCATTTAAAGAATCCTGCGTGTCTCTTTATGAATGAATGGCACAGACGCACGGTTTCGGTTACTACACACATAGCCTACTGAAGCGCGCAGTGTTTTCAGCGTCTGCTGTCTCGCTAAATGAGAACATAAATAGGCTACACGAACAACAGTCAGTGTCTGCTCTATTACAAATAATTTATATTTAAAAATACCCAAAACAGCGGAATTACAAGATGGAAATATAGACTAGAAAGATATTTAAACTTGCTCTGCCCACATGAGTTGTTTTGGCGATCTTTCCAGCTCTTAACGCCGAATGTGCTCTTGGATGGTTTGATACATGATGGGCTAATGTAGAAGCAAATAACTTTCAATAAATAACTTTTAAAAAATAAACCCCTTTGTATTGCATTGCATATTGTATGTTCAGGGATGACAGATTGAGAAGCAGACTATTTATGACTGGATGTAACTTTTGATACTTTGCAGTAAAAGTGGCTCTCCTATTAACTTTGTCCTATAAGTGCTGCTCTCATGAAAAAAAACAGTGAAGATTACTGCTCTAACCAATCAGACATGTATGAAATATAAGCACTGTTTGTGAACGTATATCATTACACACATAGGCTATACTACGACATAACATAATATAAATAATGTATGGAACATGAAATCGTCTTCAACCTTACATTTAATTACTTGCCATCGATTATATATGCCTTCTTGCTATTTCCTAATGAGTTTAGTGTTGAAGAACTTCAAGATGTTGTTTAAAAAGCTTATAAAATAAAGAATATACTTAGGCTACATATTTGGTAAGCCCTTAAAACAATTTCATCACAGAATGAACACAACGAAGTAGATTGTACCTTCAACCCCAAAGTAAAATCAATACAGAACGAACAAAATAGTTTTTTTTTTTTTGGACGGTAAATTCTGCCTAAACTCAGTTAGCTCTGCAGGTTACATACCAGCCTAAATTATGATTGGTTGTTTTTTTCACGTTCTGACCCATCAACGTAATGTTGCTATGCGTTTGCCTTTCAGTGATTGGTGGAAACAGTTGTCATTCGCGTTGTAGGTGATGTACAGTGAGATCGTGCCCAGACAAAACTTGGTTTACATGCACCACGTCCACACTGACCGCGAGAGAAGCGGGAGAGGGAATTTGTCACGATCGGAATGCACACGCAAAGTTTACCGTGAATCCTGCTTGACTTTCACGGAAGAGGAGCACGTGCCACTATCTCACAACCTCGATTTCTCCTTTTCAAAGGTAAAAGCTAGACATTTTTAACGAGTGGTCAAATATGAAAGTTTGCTACAGTCACCTGCGTTATGTCAATTGTGAGAACTGCTATCGGCAGTGAGCTGTGTGAGAGCATCAGGTCATGATGACAGTGTTGCATTATAGTTGTGCTGGAGATGCTGGATGGTGTGATGTGCTGCAGGTCCGCAGTGGTGCTGCTGATGCTTGTTTGTCTAACACCTCCGATGTCACTTCCACCAGCAGCATCAGCATCACTGCAGCAACAGCAGTGGCACATGGATCATTTCTGACTGTGATCTCCTTAATCGCTCTGTTTGCATGACATGTAAGTGTTATCAGTCATAAATTAAGACATTTCTGCATTTAGAGCAGCATTAGTGTGCACTTTATCCAGTCTGCGTCATGTCTGAGTTCTCCGCGAGATAAACATTGCAGTATTGGATTTGATTACAGACCTCATATATATATATATATATATATATATATAGAATATTTTAATTATGAATTTATTATCAACATTCAGTAACATTCAATACTTAGAATATTTCGTGGAGCATTCTATATTTAGAATATGAATATGAGAATATGTAATAAAATGTTATAGAATATTCATCATAAATAAGATGTATAATTTAATAGAACTGAATACAATTTTTATGCACAAATTTTATATATTCACGTAAAGCATTTTTAAAATCAAATTTCAATAGAATATTGAGTATAAACAGATTTGATTATTTGATAGAACAGCATAACCAAAATATTTTGATATTTAGAATTTTTTGATTGAATGTTATCTAATATTATTTACTACAACTGAATACAGTTTTTATGCACAAATTTTAGACATTTATGTAGAACATTTTTAAATCAAATTTCAATAGAATTTTCAGTATAAACAGAATTGATTATTTGATAGAATAGCATAACCCAGAACATATTTGATATTTAGAATTTTTTGATTGAATATTCCGAAAAATAAAAGGACATTTAATAGAATATTTAGTATAACTGACCCACACCACTATAACATTACACTTCATGACCACACAGATTTGACACTTTTTATGGACTTTTTGGCTATAAAGGACTTATATTATATTGTCTGTTTCAAAACCTAGTAAGATCCCTAACTAGACAGCATTGATGGGTCTGAATTAATAGTACGTGATGACAGTTATACTGCAGCATTGTGTAGTAGGTTGAGTTATTTTTAGTGTTGATTTGCTGTAGTATGTTGTAATTGGCTCAAAAAATTCATTTAAAATGCTGTTTATGGTTCTGTTCTCAGGGGTCAAATTTGAAAGCATGCTTGGGCTGCCATGAGGAAACAGTGCCAGTAGTGCAGTGTGGCTGAAATCCAGTCCCACATACTGTCTGAGGTTTAGTACAGCACAGCACTCAAACAGTGAGTTATTACATAAAACAATAATAAGAATCGATAACTGTTTTATATTCAACAAGCTCTTTCACTCTTACACCATCAAATTCGGAGAGCTTAAATGCTGACGAGTAATTTCTGAAACGCTGTCAAATTCAATCCGGTCTGCAGAGATTACGTTTTTCAATAGTATTTCCTGCATGGTCTTGAGCTACTGTACTATACTGTGACACTCCATGCATAATAAACTGCATTTATGAATGCAAATACAAGCCCTCAGAAATGGATAATCACAAAAAGCAGAACATTTTAATTTTCATGACCCACTCAGGAAATTATAAGGGATGTTTAATAATTTTGCTATGACGTAACATCGTATTGCACCATTTCCCCAAATTATAAAAGTATAGTTGTGGGGAGGAGGTTGCAAAAATCATCTCAGAGATGCAGATTAGAAATCCTGACTCAAAGTAATTACAGTTAATGCATCACAAAATAAGACGCTAGAGGGTGGACAGCCAGTGAAGGATGGGATGCCGCACAAGGACACACATTTTCCCCTCTTTTCTATAGCTGCGGTTATCCCCATCAGTGCTGTTTCGGGTTACATAAGGAAGGTCCTTATGTTACACAGGCCTCAAAGTGATGAGTGCTACAGCCCCTCTGTCACAACACATGCATCAGAGCACTTAGCAGGAGACAGTAAGGGGCAAATTAACAAAATTAAAGGTACTGTTCACCACCCCAAAAAAAAGACATAAATGCTGGTATTTTTTCCATGGAATGCAGAAGTAAACATCCTCATGCAACTCTTTCCATAAAACAAAGAGTATGGCTTCAGAAGACTTGGAATATAGCACACACGTTATTGGGACTACATTTTAATGGTGCTTTTTGTCTTTTTTTTTGCCATTATGTTAAGACTGTTGCTGCATCTAAATATGCCTACTTCCATACTATATAGTATGCGAAAAGAGTGAAATGAGTTTGTCCAAATTCATTCAAAGTTTTCGAAAAACAGTAGGCGAAAAGTAGTATGCATTCGATGGACACTTTACTATCCCATGAGGCCACAGGAGAGGAGTTGTGAATAGTAGCTGGTAGGTCATGTGACAATTGATGACATGGCGGATAATGTTTATCTGGATTTCATTCATACTATATAGAATGTGTTTTTATTAATGGTAGTGAAGTAAGTTTTAAACCAAATGGTAGTACCTGCTAGGCAACGTTACTTTGGACGCAGC